TTTTGTGCAATAATTTTTATTTTATAAAAATGGTAAGTTTTTAAGTGACCTAAATTTTTCTTTTATATAATAATGATTGATGTTCTATAATACTCATAAACTGAACACACTAAAGATAGCTTCCAGTTTTGCACCGAATATTTTCTCTTTTTTTAAAGATGTACACTTTCCAATGTATCAATACTTTGATTTTGAAAATAAGCGCGTTCGTGATGACGACAAAGCGGTCGTGTCGTTTGCAATAAAACATACACGACAGCACATGTTTTCGCGTAAAATGTCAGATTGCCCTTCGGGCTAGGATGTCAAATAACGCGATATCGATCATCGTATATTACACAGGATGGTCCAGATCTCGCGATTCCGAATTCTTTGACACAGATTTGCCGCTGATCTTATCCTCTAGCTAAAATATAACCGAATATTAATTCTCTTCATAATTTTTTTATTCTTGCAGTATTAAGTATGTTTCTTAATATTGATAGAATATGATAAATTATCAGTTATATGAAGTAATATGAAGAAGTAAAATAATTGAGTTTTTCTCAAGTATTATTTTATGGGCTTAGGGACGATAATCATACTTCTCTATTAAATTCCAGTTTAAGAAACATTTAATTATTTTTAAAATATATAGTTATCTTTTGCAAATTAACTGCCTACCTTATTTCATTTTTGTCACAGATGCAAACGCACTTCTAATGTATGAATTTTTTTCTACCTCTCTTATTTCTAATTCTAAAGCTAGCATAGAAAATTCTCTATTAATCTTGCATTAGGAGTAATGCGCTAAATACAGGCGAAATACGCATTAACCAAAGCACTTTGTGTATCGATGTCTAACTAACATCGTTTTTGTGTCCTAAAACTGTAGTGCTGTGGGACTCGGCCGACATTTATTGTTCGATCATGATGCCATTATACAATAGGGGGGCGTATGACACGCCTGTATATGGTATACACACAATTCATCGTATGCGGGGGCAGCAGAGAGAAGGTGCAGAGAGTTGCGTGGGGGGACAGAGGAAATGCTGTGGAATGCGGGATAAAACCAGATCAATACCGGCGAAAGCCGGTGACACGGTCGCGAATTCGTGGCACATACGAAATCGTGAAAAAGAACGGATGGAATCGAACAGCGAAGTGGCATCGTGATTGCTGCGCTGACACATCGTAACCGTAATGTGCGAGAGGCTTGAAAATGTGGAACTCGTCTCCTGCGTACCTTACTTCGCGCTTTTGTACTTGCGTCGTCTTTACATTCCTTAGAAAATTCACACGAACACCATAACTATATTGTGTAACTACGTCGCTGTGTGCACATTGAACCTGATATAAATCACAATCTTCATTTCTCTGATTCTATCTCTTTCGAGCAAGATCGATACTCGGCCTCCGAGAAGATGTCATAGGGAATTTGTTACTGTTACATAAAATAAGTAACTTTACTGATGTAGAATAGCGAACTATTTGTTTGTGACGTTTTTGCGACATGAAGTATACTTAGCGCCGAGGCAATGCCGTGTTTCCTGATACATATGTGCCAGAAATGTTTGATACTAACTCAGATGAGAGAAGAGTATTGTATATAAGAACGAATTCTTTTCAAAGATTTTTTTATTTTTTACTACAAAAAGTTGAGAAAATTTATTGTTTGCTACTTCATAGCGTCCAAATATGTTTGTTAAAATCGGTCTAAAATTAATTGAAAAGCAATTTAAAAAAATCAAAATTTGCTAAAGAAAATCACATGTTTAGCAAAATATTTACTAAAATATACATATTTTTGTACGTATTTTCGATTTTAAACACGAGAGAGAATATTATTTTCAAAATATTTTTCCACAATTTGAAGATAATTCCTGTGCCTTTATTTCTATTAGATACTAAATGTTATCGAATCCCGTAGAATATTTAAATATAACATTCGCGAAACTACTAACTTTGATGAATTTTCGTCGCATATTTTTCCGTCTTTTCATCCGTTTCTCGTTGTTAAACGCAATGATCGATATTCACTTCAACGAAAGCCGATACTATCGCTTTCATGACTCACGTGATCTTTTTAGCATAACGGCTTCTCGTGGTTTTTTTTAACTTGCCGGAAGTATACCGCGTGAGCACTGCGGTAAGCTGCATAAATATGTAGCATCCAGTACATGGCGGCAGCGAGGGTGGAGTAAGACTATTCTGACGCAAGTTGAGCTGCAAATGCACTCTCTTCTGTCATGACTAAACAATGTAAATGCGGTTTAGTGTCTATGAACGAATCGACATTTCGACCTTAACTATTCTACGTCAATACTATACGTAATATTGTGCGAAACTGAATGCAATTTTATTCGAATAATAGAAAGTGAATAAAAACGACAAGAATTCTGGGATAGAATAAGAATATTTCTAAGTCATATAGATGATTGAATTAATTGCATTTTACTTTACGTAATAATTTATTTTACGTTGTGCAAGTAAAAATATTTTATTTATATTTATTGCTGCCTTTAAGAATATTTTAATTGTTATTCGAATAATATAACGAAATAATAAATAGTATAATATAAATAAACAATTTTGAAAAATAAACTTTGGAAAAGATTGTGAGGATAGAGAATAAAATAAGTTATATTAAAGCAAAAATAATTATTCGCGTTAATTACAAGGCTCCAATAAAATATTCGATTTTATATTGCAGTTCAAAGAGATTATTTTATTTGACGTAATTCTCTAATAGTCTAGTAGCGTCGAATTTCCTCGATCAGAATCTCTTCCGTGTAATCAAACTGCGTAACTGTCTTATCTAAATAAAGCTCATTGGGAGTACATCAGGCTTTATGTGTGCGAGCAAATCGAAACTTTGACCTCGACTACCTCACGTCACGCGAATCGAAACTTTACGTAGTAATTCAGAATAAAGAAGTTGAGTCGCTAGAGGTAATTCAAGTTCAGCGGAAACTCGTAATTCATGCAATGCATTGTAACTTTGTAAGTCGATATCTAGCTCCGGACGAGTCTCCCTGTGCATAACGTACGTCATTGTGTTGGCAGCGCATCAACGCGTCTTCAATCTTGGTGATTGTTATTACGTCAGCTCTATCGAAACATCTCTCGTGTAGTAATTTAGAATAAGGAAGTCAGTTCATTAAGCGCGGAGACTTGGTGATCGATCGGTTGCTCATTACTTCAGCTAAGCTCCGCGGTGCAACTTTGTGCATTGTTACAGCTGCATTTTACACAAGGGAGAACGATAATTTCGCGACCTTTACCCGCTCTAAATTCATCGAATAGAAAACGTATCGGGAGTGGCTCTGGGGATGAGGCAATCGTTGAAATTGAGTTAAATGCTTGACACAAGCTCGCACCCACGCTTCTTATCGCAGTCTAATTAGCTTCGGTAAAATCCTCTCGTGTTCCCAGAATACCCGTACTGAATACCCACAGCTGTACCACAACACAGTAAGTCCACCTACTCGTATTAATCGTCCGCCTATTAATCATGCTTTCTCGGGTAACTCCATGAATGCCGTTCCACGGCGTTTGCAGTTTTCCATCTCTCCATTATAACGTAATACATAAATATTTATTGATTTACATCAGAGAGACTGCTATCTTATTCGCCGCTCATTTCTTCGACTACACCGAGCTCTCTTCCGATGGTGCAATTTTCTTTTGATCGATCTTTTATTTTTACCGCCAGTCGAACCCGCTCTGCGGCACATACATTAGAGAACAACTGATGAGATCGTATATTGAATCCATAATGTTTTCGTTTGGTATAAGTGAATTTTTGGACTTCTATTTCGATCTCGGATCGAAATTATTCGAAATTTATACATGTCTATAATTATATTATATTGAACGTTTCTCTTTTTATTTTAAATTGAAATTCAGCAGTTAGATATTTAACAGATTTAATATAATTTACGTGATTTTAGCGTGAAAAAGTTCGAATATAAATAATATATTTATTAAACTAACGTTTGCGAATTATACAACATAGATTTTACTATTTCTCTGTAAAAATCATTAATTTAATTTATGACCAATTATTTTCGATATTGCATGTTCGTCATACTTAACTTTGCGTCCTCTGTTGAGTCGTGTTACAAGAATAGCGAACGATTGATCGTACGAGCACAACTGCCGCTACGAATTACTAATCAAGTATCGTAACAACGAGCAATATTTATCCCGATGTGGAACGAATGTCCGCGAGCCATGTAATCGATGTGACTTTCTGGCAATCGAATCGCATGTACTTTTCGTTCAGTCGTCGAAGCTATAAATAAAGCCGTTAAATTCTGTGTAAACCCCCATAAAATTCTTTCACGATTTATCACGTCGTTTTATCATGTTTATTGTTGCTTTAGGAAAGCGTATGCGAGAGGCCATACGATATAAAAAATATGAAGCAAACCAATTTACATTTTATTAATTAGTTCCAAATATAAATATAGCCGTACGAATATATTTGCTCATTATTTGCGTAAATAATTTTCTATGAAAAGAAAATGCTATGTATTATAAATAGCTACGTGCAGGTAATAATTTTGGATAATACATCGTATGTAATTTAATTTACTTAATTTTATGGAAATCGGAAAAGTTTATGGAAACAGCAAAAGTTTAAAGACATTATTAGATAAAAGTTACATTTATCGATGATAACTTTAAATCCGAGCTCAGTTTCATTGATTCTTTGTCTCTTTCTAAAAGTCAAAGTAGGTAGGAGAAGACGAACACACAGTAAGTTAAATTACGATTATTAAATCACGGAAGTTAACCGGTACTGATGAAACCGGCTATGAACGACGCAAAGGAAAACGAAATTAAGGTTAATAATAATTTAATTGTGTGGATTGGTTTCTATTTTCTTTTCTTTTTTTTGTTGCGAAGAGAAATAGATTTCTTCAGATAAATTATTGGTGGCTCGTTTTTTTTTAAGAAGAAAGATCCTAGAATATTACGATAAACGTACTTGATATATACTTTGTAACATGTACTTTTGTCGTGTCGCTGTCGCATGAGCTTCAAGCTCGCCTTTTTTCCAACGTCGAGCACATACAAAGCCAGGAACACGAAGCGCTGATTGGCGGGACGGATAAAAATGTGCTAAAGAAAGGCGCACGGCGAAAACAAAAAAGGTGATGACGGTGGCGCGGATCAACCTGTGAGCAAGCCACATGAAGCGTAAGAGAGGAAGGTTCATACGTGGTGGGTGTGTACATCGATACGTTTATTAAGTACAACTAATACAAGGATCGCGAAGAGCTTGGATATGAACGCAGAGCGCGTGTCCTCGTGGACGTTTAGCTTCGTCGTCCGAGACTAAAATCGATCGTCTTCGAGCGAGTTCACCGATGGCAACATCCAAAGCACAGCGTGTGTCAGCAATAACATTATTTATTTGCATACATATAAGAATACATATATAGAATACACCAAAAGTCGCGCGTTTTCTTACAGCTGTAGAGATTTTTGTAAAGTTTCTTTAGTTTTTTAAGATTTTTATATATTTTGATTGAAAATCGAGCCTTTAATTATAGTTACCTTTAATTAAAGATTATTTAATTAAATTATTTGAAAAATAATGATTATTTGTTTAAACTTCTATTCAATGCAGTAAAACTCAGTAAGACTTTTATGTCGATGTAATCTTTTGTTGAAATTTTAAGACACTCAGTCAATTCCACATTCAGAAAAGAAGACATACCGATGGCAACTTAATAGCAAGTACAAGTTTTATATAAACATTAATTTATTGAATTATGCATGTTAATATTAGATATGAAACTTATCACCTTCATAGTTGCTATGAA